GCTTTGAAAATTAATACTTTGGAAATCTACGGATTTTTGAACATGTATAAACCACAATTATTTCATACTCTTATACGGGTTATTAAATCACAAGAGCAACTTAGGAAAATTAAATTATCTGGTATATCTGGTCTAAAAAGTTACATATATCCCAAAAATTTCCATGGCACAATTTCAGCTTTAGAGTGTCAAAAAAACTCATTACAAGAAGTTATAATAGAATTTTGTAATTGTAGCGCTAAGTTCGAGGTACTGAAAAATTGTAAAAATTTAGAAATTCTTCGTGTCAGGCATTGCAAAAATGAATCGATGAAAAAATTAAATTATAAAGTTAGCACTTTAGATTTAGCTTATTGCTCAATTGATGCATCGACTATAGTACAGATATTAGAAGAGTCCAGCACATTACTACAGCGATTAAAGATTATATCAACAGATGATGAAATTTTGGAAGAATCTTTACTAGTAGCAATTAAGTCCTTCTGCCCAAACATTACATATTTCAATCTTTCGAATATTAGATTTACCACACAACTCATAGAACTCCTTGGTAATTTACAAGAACTTCAATTTCTCACGTTACGACACATTGTTAACGTACCGGAAAAAGAACGAGTTAAGCAATTTGCAGAAATATTACCATTAAAGTTACAATATCTTAACTTAGATAATAGCAATTGGCCAGAACTATATATAGATATTTTGTTCATTAATTGTAATGCACCTTTAAAAAGCCTGTTAGTTAATCACCTTGATAGGGAAAAAAATACAAAAGCGCTAATAGAATTCTGTATACGAAATAGAACTTTGAATTACTTGAATGTACGGAATTTGAATAATGTTTTTAAAGATGTTGAAACAATTGAAGCATACGTTAAATTTATACCATATGGACGTATTGTTGTTAATTGCTAATTTCTATTAATACATACTTTTATTTTGTGGATCAACAATATTTTATACAATTTTATCATATTATTGTCAATGTGTTTGTAAAAATTTCCAAAATTAAAAATATGTTTTATTAAAATCGACCTAAATTTCAGAGTGGACCCTAAACATATTTATTAACAAATCTTTGCACTCAGCTAGTCTTAACGAATTTGTTAGGTACAAAGTGTATAAATTAAGGTCACGCAACGTTAATTTTTCGTTTTCATAACTCGCCGGCCCAATTTTTCAAAATTTTTTTTTAAGTTCCAATTATTCCATTTTTGCCATTAATATTTTTTTCATAAATTTATCCGCTTCGAGGTTTCGCACTGACGAAACGCGAAACCTAGTTTCGTTTTTCGTCACTTTACTACACATTTAGTAGCATTTTGAACATCTATTTAATCAATTGGATGAGCAAATGCTACTGGAAAATGAATAATTAATTTATTAAGTTAAAAATTAATATCTTTATTATAATAGTTATCTCGAAAATTGACAGGCCCTTTAAACAGATATTGATCAAGATAATCTTCTCCTAGACATTTAATAACCAGGAGAGGATATTGTAATGCGTGAATAGTTGCAATCGAAAGTAATATATTATACAAATATGAAATCATTTCATTAAATATATATATATATTTATATTTGGTCTTAATATATAATTGAACATAAAATGATTAAAGGATTTAAATATTGTAATTTTAAAATACCTTTTTATATTCTATAAATGTTACAATTGCGTTTATTTTATTACAAAATAATGTTTAAAAGAAAGTAAACAAACCAAAATAAAGCATTAAACTTGCTATTGTTCTTGACTAAAAAATCATAAACTATATATATTGCAAAAAACCTAAATTTTGTCACGGCTGAAACTGAATTTATAGTTAATGTTCAAATTTAGGGTTATTTATATACTAGAATCTGCACGTGCTTTGCTATGTGAGAACTATTATATCTATAGTGATAATAATAATATTTATATTTTTCCCGCTAACATTTTTTGTAGAAAAAGTTGTAAGTAAAAATTAACATTATGTCTAATAAATGAGATTCAAATGTGTAAATTAAACTAAATTATCTATTGCGAAATACAGTATATAAAGAGGTTTGATTGTATACAAACTTGAATCTCATACGTTGATATTGTAATCTTTGTTCTTCCATAGTATGACAATTACAATAAGGTGCTTCTATTTATTAAATTAGTATTTAAAAAATTAACAGCTTTATTGGTGTATGAAAAACTTTCATATAGAGCAAAAAAGCTGTAATGCAAAAAAAATGTTGCTAATCTCAAAGTAAAACTTTTGTTAGATTGAATTCAACAAAAAAATAACATCTAGTGGGCTTTTATCTATCAAGAATCGTTAATTATATTATATATGGGTTTATTGAGTACAAAATTATCACAATCGCATAGACTTAGTATTTAAAATTAAAACTTATTGCAATTGTTAGATAAAGTATAACACTAAGAAAGAAAAACCAAGACTATACAGCTATAAAAATAATTTTCCATTATTATTGATTTAGAATTTAAAAATATAGCTTAAACATGTCAACTATATAATGATCCAATTTGAATATGAATAATAAGTTTATTTTTAAATTAATGGCCAAAAAGGTTAAAATCGTATAAAGCCTATTAATGCAGAAGACAGATATAACAAAAACTGTATAGCTATGAAAATAAATTAGAATTTGCAAATACAGTTCAAACATGTCAACCATATAATTATCTAATTCAAATAAACAATTTCTTAAGTTTATTTTCTAAAATTTTATTTTCTAAATATTATTCAAAAAGGTTAAATATAGCATAAAGCTTATAGCCAAAAAGGTCAAATATTGCATAACTTTCCTTATACTATAGTATATAGTATATATGGTACCCATCACATTATTATCAACAGCCAATCAAATTGCAGAGGACAGACACACAACCAAATCTTAGTAGTATAGAGATGTATAATTGTCATATCTAAAGATAGAATGATTTATCTTTCAAATTGAGATCTCTAATTTTTAACTTTATACTTACACAGTTAAAAAAAATATATCTATACCACTCAAAGCCACCAGCCTAAATATTTGTGAGCTGGATAGCTTGCCACTAGTTAAATAGAGATATTATTATACTTGTCCATACTCAGTTTGGGCCTGTTTGAAACCCAAACTTGTTAAATTCGAGTTTTGTGATTATGTGATTTGATTAGAAATTTTTCTGTTTATAATGCTCTAATCGAGTTCAAAATCGATTTCTTAAGTAAAATGTTTTATTATTTATAATTTTTCTAATTAGAAGTTTTTATAACGCAAATGATGAATATGAGATTTTGCATTTATTATTTCTACTGACATGCATTGCTTTTTTTTAAAAAAAAAAATTACAATTACTTATTTTTTTGTAAAAGCATTTTTAATAGCTATAAATTTGTTACATTTATTTTATTTTTATATTTATTTATTTATTTTTTTATTTTTATGCAATGGATTAAGTAATCTCATACAACAATTTAATAATTTGACCAAATTTATCTCTACATCATTTTCAATATTATCTCAATATACCATCAAACCAAAAATACTAACAGACACAACAAACTGTCTTCAAAGCAATTTAAAATTGATTCTATTCAGATTTGCCTATAAAAAGTTGTACTTTATAAATAATTATTTTAATAAATAGAATGAATTAATAAGAAGCATTAGCAAGATGAATATTGCACTGTATAGTGCGGGTTAAATAGTTCTAATTTCTAATAAATCAATATCTTATTATAAAAGCTTTTCTCTTATTTAAAAAAAAAGATTTTCAACTATTCATTAATCAATTAACTCAACGATAGAAACTATCATTTCTGCATTTGACTTCATAAGGAAATAATATATATATTTTCATATTGTAAATATTTTAGTATTTATAGGAAGTATGATGTTGATAACATATATTTAAACAAAAAAATTATTCTATATAAAAGTTCTCTTTTCACTTGAATTATTTCTTTATATACAAAAATTTTGTGCACGAATAAATAAATATATAACAGGTTTTAAGCTAAAATGTTCAGACATGTATAATTAATAATACATGCTTATAAATTGTTTAAGCAGAATTTGAGCCTGATTTCTGTAGTGTTTCGAAATAGCACCTGAACAGTGAATTGTTTAAAGCCTAAAAATCAATAAATTATATGTAATAGCTTGTTACAGAAATTATAATTAATAATGTATTGTATTAAATTTAAATTTATAAACTTACTAGCTATTTTTTGTGAGTGAGACTTCGGGCTAATTTAATCCACAACCCAGACAACCTAATCGAAAAATGAAATTAAAAGTCTAAAGCAGGGTCATGATTTTATGAACAGAATCACAGAATTTGACTATAAATGCGAATAGGTTAAAAAATGCAATAAATTGATGCAGAAAGTAAGGGGTATTTGCACAAAAATCACAGAAAGTAGGTTTAGAAATAAACAATCCCAAAAATAGAACTTTAAAAAATAAAACCAAAAGGCGAGTATTGTTTATCTGAAATAAATCAAAAAACGAATCTCAGAATTTTATTGAATATTCAAGTTGCTATTTTACCAATGCAGAATTCATAAATTATAATACATGAATATTAGCAAAATTTATAAAGTTTAATGTATGAATATTAGTAGAATTTATAATCTCTAGTCTGAAGTTTCATTGTACCTTGATAGCACTAGGTTGTTGGGCAAAACTGTTTTCAGAAAGAGATGAAAGAAAACCTCTTGGCGAAACATCTAATATATAACAAAAAGTATTGATTTGAGATTTCTAACTATTTGAACTATACAATAATGATAAACTTTTATCTCTTTTATGATATTAATACAATTGGAATTACAGTTTCATTTAGCGTTCTCTCTATCTCTAAGGGTGCCCCTTTGGAGTTAAACAAGCCAATTGGAACATCTATTTCATATTAAGATTTCAATAATTTACAAGCTAATAATAATAGGATTATTTTAATATAGAATTTGTTTAATTGATCCTCTTTTACTCATTGCACTTAAATTTTATAAAAGAACTATATACTTGAATTGTTTAAAAAGAGTATGCTAGTCATATCATATTGTACTGTAATCTTAGTGCAATTCTCAAATTTTTATCGATTTCATATTATACAGAATTATAGCAAAACAGGTAGAGCTCTGTATTAATGATGATGAGAAATTTTATTTGTAGCTTTTGAACAAATTTTTTTGGACAAAATTTTTTACACCTTAGGTTATGTAAATTTTATTATTTCAATCTTTTATATCACAATTAAGTAGTTAACTTCTTGCCATATTTTTGTTTATTAATAAATTTTATGAAAATTTCAGTATTTATGTCATTCGTTGAAATGTAATTATTATTGATTTAGAATCCACTTAGGTTGGAGCGGATTTCCATTGTAACCCAAGTTAATATGAAACCTAAGTTGGTTTTAAATTTGATAATTGTAATTAATCAAATGATTTTAAATTCGATGACACAATAAGTGTGTAATTAATTAATGTAACAATTGTCAAATAAATTAATATTATATCATCATGATAAATTATCGATAAAATACTAATTTTATTTTATTATTTCCTTGAAAACACTCTATCTGATAACCAAAGCTCAAGATTATCCATTTTTACCTCATAATGCATTTGAAGAAATACTCTCCAAATATATTAGTAGTAAATTGATTAATATTCAACATAAAACCTTTATAGCACGTAAAAATTTTAATTTTTGTATTAAAAAATGTAAGAAAACAATCAAAAGACACTCCCTCTGCAAGATCTCGAGTGACACATATTGCTTGGATACAAATCCGACTTTATTGGATTACTTATAAGTTTTTAGAATACTATAGTATGTTCTTATTACGACCTTAGATTTAACAAACACAAAATTTTCTATAACAAATTTTTTTCAACACATAAGTATTCAAGAAGTGTCTATTATGCAATCTTCCTCATAAGTAAATAATATTAAATGTAAATGCAAAAAATATATGTGAAAAAATTACTGTAAATGAAAAAATATATGCCATGCGGAAATACTAATCATGAATGTAAAAGCTTCATGTATAATGCTTTTAAATTTAATTAATAAATAATCTTTGTCTTAAGCAACTTAAATTTCAAAACAAAGTACTTGATGAAATAATTTGGAATACACTTAAACTTTAGTGTAGGTTTTATTGGAATTCTTAATGAATCAGTCACATTTTGAAATTTTATTATGACCTATATAGGTGGATTCTAAACCCACAATAATTCTATTCTGACATATGACATTTACAGTACAGTAATAATCATTTGAGTTGATGTAAAGTCAACAGATCGAAAAGATGCTAAGCATGTGATGTGCATCATAGAACCATTAACCAGAACAAGTCTGGTCCAATAATCAAAGGAGGTGAATAACTTTCCACATACAGCAATCACTAATTTAATAAAGATGGCAATGAGAATAAAGATAAATCTGTGGAAAATATAAGTTGGCCTTATGCCAATGATTGCTTACTTGGCTGCAACAGACCACAATTTGTGACCCAACCTTCTCTCCCAAAGGAATCCAGTTATTCTCATAAATATCGGTGAATATCAATATTAACCTTTTCATACTGACAGCCAGCCTGCTTTATGCAGGCAAGTCAACACTATAACTACAAATATCAATATCACATATTTATACTGACAGCTAGCTTGCATTATGCAAACACATCAGCACTAAGCCGCACAAACCCAACTGCTATATAACTGCAAATATCAATCATATATTTATACTGATAGAAAACTACTGGCTAGCACTAAGCTTAACTGCTTACAGTTATCTCTCTCAGTGCAATATTATTGCTTTTTCTGAGAGTATATTCTGTTTCAGTTTAATAGCATACAAATCACAGTTAACTAAACCTGCTATTTTTATAATCATAACTACTAAGATATCAATCTTACATTACATGTTTATATTAATAGCTGGCCTGCATTACGCAGGTAGGAAACCACCAGCCAGCATTATACTGCACAAACTCAACTGCTTATAATGATCTCACATCACAATATTATTTGCTTTTTCTGGATGCTTACTCCATTTTAGTTTCAATAACAAATAATTTGCAACTAGTATAATGTATTCACAACTAATATAATTTATTTGCAGCTACTATAATCTATTTGCAACTAATATAATCTGCATCTATCAAAAAAATCCAATTTTAGGGAATTGACAGTCACTCTGTTCTATAAAGGTGCCAGGTAACTTACAGATAAAAACATTTCTGTGATAAACAGACAACAAGAGTTAAAAACCTTTAAAACAGATGCATTAGCTCTTGTACCCTTAAAATACAAGTCAACAGACGCACAATCTGGAAATAATAAAAAAGTCTTGAGAGAGTTACATAAAAATAAAGCCATAAATAAAAAAACAAAAGCCCAAAATGCAGTAAACATCACAGCCCCAGTAGAAGATACAAAAAAGTCTAATCAAACTGCAAATCCACAAATATTAAATAAAGTAAACACAAGCTGAGATAACTCAGAGTTATGAAATTTCCAAGCAGAATCCTCTTTCTTTATGGAGTCTCAAAGTGAAGTTTCAAAGTGAAGTATACAACATAATCTGATCAAAAAATTCCATATATTACACAATAGAAATTGCTAGAAAATCTAAATCAATAGAGAAAAATTAGTTATTAGAATTTCAAATACACACTAACAAAGAACAAAGTAATGATCTTACAAGTATATATACTGTTAGTACAAAGGAATATTCTTCAATTTCAAAATCTAAATAATGGTCTAGTTTATTTACTAAGCTAAAGAGGGGTAAGCTACCTTCTTCACCTTCTCACTACAAAGAATTATAAGCACAAAAAATATTAATGCTCTAATTTTTGAGATTCAAAACTATAAAGAAATTCTAACTAATAAAATTATAGCTATCTTATATAGCAAAATAGAAACAAACCTCATATGTCCAAACCCTACTATATAAAAGAAACCTGTATATATTTAGAATTAATCTTTAAATACAAACCTATAATGAATAAATACTGTGAAGATAGTGTTAAACCAAATCTTCTTTTGATATACTAGGACAAACCAATCTTTCTTGATAGTCAAACTGCAATATCTCTCAATAGCAAAAAAAGAACTGATCTCAAAACAAATAAAAGATATATTTAAAAACCTTGAAAGCATTGTTTTAATCAAATCTTTGCTATATGAAGGTACTCAAATACTAACAGACCAATGGTTAGTGATATTTGGGACAACAAATAATACAAAATTATAAGAAAGATTACCAAATTTATTTGCACCTTAGATCAAAATATAACAACAAAGTAGAAAAAGCCCCAAGCTCTATTATTTTTATAATAAAGCTAGTTATTTGAAAAATAATTATCCTTAGTAAAAAGAGGCTTTGAAACCCAACTAGACATATAAAAAATATAAAATAGCTATGAGAGATATGGAAAGTAACCTAGAAAACTTAGTCAAGCCCTTAAATACAAAAATTAAAATAGATAACACTAACGGAGCACTCAATGCATTAAATCAAAACAGTGGTCAAATGTCATCATAAATTCAGAATTTATATAATAAGACTGAATAAGAATATATATCTACTTTTATAATCTTAATAGAAGAAAGTTACTAATATGTTATCTGTGGTAGAATTACCTGATAAAAGAGATCTAATAGAAGAAATATCTGACAAAGAGGAAACTTTCCAATTAATAATAAATAAAGACAATCAATCTACAACAATAAAAACAAATATAGTAAATATACAGAAGAAGGTTTTACTACAGTAGAATATAGAAAAAAAAGTGTAGAATCATGTAATTTGGGCAAAACAAGTCTATGTAAAAGGAATTAAAAACTCTAATTATATAATTTAATAAATAAAAATTCTATAGTATAAATAGCAACTTTAAATATAAAAGGTTTTTAATAAATAAGAAAAAATAACAAAAACATTCATATTATTAAAAAAAAATAATTTGATATAATTTTTTTAGAGAGTTAGAAGCAGTAGCTAAAAATCTTTGTATTTAATTATATATTTCTTGTACAATAAAGTCAAGATTTCTAAAAAAAAAAAAAAGACAACTATAAGCTACAGAATTTTCTTAAATAACTCTAGTACTATAACTCTTACTAATTAACAAAAACTACAATTCTAGCAGGAAATAAAAAGATCAAATTTGAAAATATACAAGAAACTTCAAATAGCTGAGTAATCATGATCAACTTTACCTATAACTATATACTCTTCCAAATATATGTATCTTCAAATTTACCTAACAAATTGAATTTTTTTAATATTTATTATAAACCTTGTATAAATAATAATGTTTTCAATATAGAAGATTTCATTATAAATACAAATTCAGTTAATAACAGATTAAGTAATTTTTCTTATACCAATAATCTTTCAAGAGAAAGACTCAAGTAGTTGATATTGAGTTTCATAGACTTAGCATAAAATATTAACCAGTTTATAACATACTATTAAGAAGTAAAGAATAATTAGATAATAGCAACAAGATTAGATTATATCTTTATTAATATTGTAATGCACATCTTTGTAAAAAACTAAAACACATTTCAAAAACTTAGATTATTAAATAGTCTCTTGCCAACTTGAATACCTTATATCAGCAATATCTGTAATATAGAAAATTATTTCTTAAGTTTTTGATAATAGGAAAATTAAAATTAAAATTATAAAGGAACTTAAAGTATAATATTATCTCAGAGTAGAACTATTACAAAATTCAGATTTAGTTAATTAAACACTTATTTAAACCTCTATCTGCATAGAAGTATATATAAAAAGACTAAACAAAATATTACAAAATTAAATAACAGACTAGTAAGAAATATATTATTAGCAAATCTTAATATTATATAAAAACAGAACTTCAAGAAGAATTACTGAAACAAGCACAATATAATCATCTGCCACAGAAAATCATCTAATTTAAGTATTTACGGAGATCTGGTTAACCAGAATTAAAGATTAGTCAGCTTGCAGTTAATGTGAGCTAAAATTATATAAAATCTTATTTTTAGATTTGATTAACAAAAACCTATTTTGTAGATTTATATATTTTTTCTTTAAAAAATTTCTATTAAGTTTATGGTAAAATTCTTATTTCAGTAGTAAATATCAATATAAAAAATATCAGAATACAAAAATAAAATTTAAAATTTTCTTACTAAGGCCATGCAAAATTAATTAAATGGTTTTCATAACCCGGCCGGGTCAAAATTTGAAAATTTCAAAAAAAAAATTT